TTCTTATTAATTTGAGGTTGATTAATTATTAAGTTTAATAGAGAGAAAAACTACAAATTGTATATATTTATTAACAGAAAAAGAAAAATAACGATGAATTGTAATATCAAAATATATGTAAGAATAAGGGCCAGAAAAATCAGCGAAAATGTTATTATTAATCATTTGAGTCATTATAGCCGGATATGATTTCTTGAGAATCAGTCATAATAAACTATATGTCTTTTTAAACGAAGTCATTATATCCAAACTTTCCTATAGAGAATTTAATATGAAAACCAAACTTAACACTGCAATTACTTTATATTAAGTGGTTGGTCAATATAGGCGGAATCATAATAAACGAATTCCACTGTATGTATATTTTATTGCATCATTTCAGTGGAAAGCCCATGATGGACTTGTATTGGCCTTAGCATGGAGCGAAGTGAATGATCTAATAATTTCAGGGGGTGAAGATTGTCGTTATAAAGTTTGGAATTCACAGGGTCATCAGTTATTTTCGAGCACTTTACATGATTACCCAATAATGTCTTTGGCATGGTCTCCTAATGGAGACGTTTTTGCAGTGGGCTCATATAATACTCTTCGATTATGTGACCACGCTGGGGTAATACTTTATTCAAAAAGTTCTGTTTCTCATTGTATAGGGCGAAGTTCAAATTTCCTTGATTTTAGTGGTCTAGATCTTTGGACAAACTATCTACGGGTTGTATCTATAAAATGTCTTGGTCTAAAGATGGAACTCAATTGGCAGGAGCTTGTGCAAATGGTCACGTCCTGTTCGCCCACATTATTGAAAAGCAAGTGAATTATTTCAACTTTGAAGCCGTGGTAACAGGCAGAAAAACCATATCTGTCAGGGACACCACCACTGACGCTCAAGAATTGCTCGAGTTACCAGAAAGAATTATTCAAGTAGCTTTGAAATATTCCCATTTGGTTGCGACGACACCTTCTCAATGTTATATCTACAGTACCAGCAATTGGAATACACCCATCATTTTCGACTTGAAAGATGGATGTGTTAGTCTGCTGCTGATGTCAGAAAAGTAAGGATATTCTAACAAGTTGCAATTTTTAAGTAGTTCCCTAAATTTACTTTCTGTAGCGATGTGCCCCTGCCAATGTCTTGGATGCGCGCTGGAAAAATCGTCGGTAGGGAGAAAAAAGCTCATTATACTCTCGACTCTTGTTCATTAAACATACTTTTTCATACAGTACCTGCCAAAAGTTTTGTTCAATCATGAATAGTGGTGCGAGACGAAAACAAGCGTTAAAGCCTCTAATATGTCTTCAAATATAAATAAATATCTCGTTGATATTTTCAGTAGTAAATGGTACCAATAACAACACATTTGAGCAATGCAATTGTAGTGGATAAAATGGTCAATTTTTCCGTGCAGTACTGTACGGATTATACGCTCCTCACCAGTTAAGAGTTTGACCGAGAGTTGTCCCCTTCCTTTTCAGGCCTAGTGCTGTTCTTTTCTACTCTGCGCCGGCCAAACTAAAGGTCACATCGCTACAGAAAGTAAACGAAGTATACCAATATTAACAAAAGCAAAAACATTTTTTTAAATTAGTTATTGCAAGTTTCGATTCATGAGAAGTTGTTTGATAAACCGCTTCTGGCTCATACAGATGTTCTTCTAAGTAGACATTCCTGTTGAGACAAGAAGGTTATTTTTGAGACGTAACTTTAATATTTGCTTTAAATTAACCCTGATACGAATCCACGTCTTTCTTTACGTTAACGTAAAAGTATTTTCATTCTGTGAATATAATTGCGTTCTGAAGAATATATTTTCTTATTCATACACAATTTTACTTATTCAGATACCCACGTATTGTTTTGTAACCCTGTTCTAGGAATTTCGAAAAATAAGATAAAAAGTCATTGCTATTTTTATCTCACTTAGTATTTAAAATGGCAATTTCTTTCTATAAAACGAATATTAAATGAAAATTATTTTTGTTTTATTTATTTATACTAATTCTTCCCCCCTGTCAGTCACTGTAAGCCCGAAACTGTTAGCACCATTGCTTCGAGTGGTCGAAATTCACTTTTGTGAACAATTTGTTGAATCACTTTCTTTGTGTTAAGAATTGTTTAAAAAATTAAATTTAAAGAAATTGTTTCTAAATAGGTATGCAACACATCGTACACTTCAGCATGAAAAATTGCTGATACTAACCACGTACTACTACTTTTCCCTGTGCTGACAGAACTCATAATTTCATATAATATTTGGCTTTTGAGGTTTTTAAAGTAATTATCAATCGAAAAAGATCAAACCTACTGCAAGAATTTTTTCTGTATGAGACTATAGAAAAGGAGTAAGTAATGTTAAAAGTTTGTAACAACAATTATCGTTTTAGATACCTCTTGATTGGAGAACGAAACACAATTAATATTTATAATCATCAGGGCAGATTAGTAGCTTCACCACGTTGGCCGAATATGAGACTTGAAAGTCTCACATCTTCACAAATTAGTTTATCATCTGATACATTTGTTGTAATGGATATTTTGAATTTGAACAGTAAGCACGTCTTTTGTTATACAAACCTATACATATGTTCGCCAGTTTCGACAGAATGCAGACCACTTCGAATTATTTTATTTAAAAATGTTACTAAATTATTATACCTTTACAGCCGTATACATAATCGATTTAGGATCAAACAGATCTATTTCTGAAAACGCAGTTTCCATACATCATGACGTCTCAATTTGTCAAATAAGTTTAAACCAAGCAGGTGATATACAGCAAAGGTGTGTGGCTATATTGGATAAAAACAAATGCATCTATATCTGCCAGATAAAAACACCTTATAAGGAATTGCATAAATTAGGTATGTACTTTATTTATGTTTGGGATTTTAATACAACAATATTATGTGAAGGTACAGGGAGACCTTTTTCAAAGCACTTGTCTGATTATCATTTTCCAGTATTTATAGTAAGTACATCTACGTTAACATTTGCACTCCATACTTATGGTAAATTCTCACTTTATCGCAATTTTCAATCAAAAGGACTCCAAAAGGAAAGCAAAATATTTAATCTTATTCAAGAAGAATGCCTTTTCAAGAATATTTGTTTACTTTATAAAATAAAAATTAGTTGAAGGGGAGTTTAGCTCGCGCGTCGAAACTTTCTTACTTTATTAAATACATGTCTACAATTTACGTAACGCAAAGGGGCTGGGGGCAGCCTGGTGATCCTGATACCTGGAGGGAGGGTGATTATGCTAATGTTTTGTTATCTAATAGCGATTTTAGAACCGGAAAATCGGTCACTGAATTGAAGTCCAATAGATACACAAATCGGGCATTGGTTGTGGTAAAGAAAAATGTTCGAGATTCGAGTAGCACTACACATTAATATTGATTAGAAGTTGTAACCACTTATTTAAAAGTGAATTATTAATCAGAAATTGAAGAATATTTCTTTTCCCAATCCCTAAAATTTTTAGAATGCATGGACGTAATAGATTAAAGTCAGGGGTGAGGCTGTGAGGCTAAGCGTTACGGTGGTGTTATATGAAGGAGGGTTAAAAACTGATGAAATTTGCGTTACGTAATTTATGGACAGCCCCTTATTTAATATTAAACTTTCTAGAAAGCATAATTTTTGTAATTCCATTCATTAACGTTAATTGTAAGTATAATTTGCTTGCTGCTTTGTACCACAAAGGATCACAACTAAAGTGATAAGTGATAAGGGAGTTTATACCATCTACTTTTTTGACTTTTTTGACAGTTTGCCTGTAAATTATAAATATTGTGCTGTATTCCATAATTTTCTTAAAACTTTAAGTCCAGTTATTTAAAAAATAAAAGGGTCAATATATTTTATTTTCCCATATTTTTCGTTTTAAATCTGATACTTAAAATTATGGTTGATTTTTGATATCTAAGATATCGTACATTGAAAAGGTTAGACATGAAAAGGTATTAGAAAAAATAGGAGAACAGATAGCGCTATGGATGTCAATAAGAAAAAGATGAGATACGTTGGTAGAACAACTTCTCAGGCATGAAGGGCTAGTTAGAAGCAAAAACAGGAGTTAAAAGGGGTAAATGTAGACCTTGATTAGATTACTGTTCACAAATAATTAAGGATATAGGATGTTCTAGTTTCATATAAATGCAAAGATTAGCTCAGAAAAGGAAAGAGTGGAGGTGCGTGTCGAGCCCTTCATGGTGGTAGATCTCCTACCAACCTATGTAGCTTATTTCTAATTGACTTCCGTAGCTTCCTCTGTTTCTCCTATAATACCTCCTAATTTTTAACCTTCTAATGCTATCCAAGTTTAGTGTTTCTACATTGAATAGTTTCTGTGAAACTAAAATATGAGGTGTTTGAAAAGTCAGTCGATTTCTTTTTGTCTTTTTATTGTGTACATAGGTGTACCTACATTATTTGTATGTATTTTTATAGTTTTTCAAATTATTCTGGCTTCTGAGTTCTGACAACAAAAGAAAACACATCCGGTTTCTGTTTTTAGGAAGTCAAGTACATTCTTTTCTGTGGAATACGGAGCAAAACATGATTGCAGCTATCCAAGATACCAATCTGGTTGTGTGGTATTGTCCTACGGCTTGCTTTAATGCCACTGCGCTTAAATTCACCACGAAAGTGTACGATTCATACGACCTCGGCAGTAATCCTAGAATAAACGACTTTGTCGGGAATTTCGTGACCATACGTAGAGGTGACGGTGCTTTGGTATCTGTATGCATCTCGCCTTATCCAGCTGCCCTCAGTTCGTAAGCAGAAAATAAGAGAATTTTTGAGGGACAACTAAAGCTAAAAGATTAATTTTTTTTCAAGTTTGTTGAGAGGCGGTAATCTAAAGGAAGCTGTTAACTTATGTCGTAAAATTAATGATAAAACGTTATGGATGTGCCTAGCCGTTTACGTAATCAGTAATTTGGATGTTGAAAACTTGAGTTACTTAGAAGAAGCTTTTGCAGCAACAGACCAGTATGATGCTGTAGATTATGTCTTAAATTTAAAGGTAGATTCGTAATGGGCTTTTCAAAACTATAACATTTATACAAATACCTTGTTTTTTAATTTTGTTTAAAGCAGTCCTACAAACGTTATTTTATAATTCGAATAATGTTCTATCGATTATCAATAACTCCATTATTTTAAGAAACAACCAACAAAATCTCAACAAATGGCTGGGTTGAGTTTACTTGGTGGTTCCATGCAAAATGCTGAAGCAATTTTGCTCCACAACGGACAAGTTGCTCAAGCTATTATGATGAATGTACAAATGTACCAATGGAATAGGTAAAAAGGACAGATTTTTCTGTTTTTATTAATTCTGATAAACAGGCCTTTTCTCAATTGAAATTACAGCATACACCCGATTGTGTGAACATCACATAACGAGAGCACCGTATGATATGAACAGCATATTATCTAATCACACTAGACCACCGTATACCGTGAACATACTATACTTCATTTGCTTTCTCTAGCGATGTGCCCCAATGTCTTGTATGCGCGCTGGAAAAATCGTAGGTAAAGAGAAAAAAGCTCATTATACTCTCGACTCTTGTTCATTAAACATACTTTTTCATACAGTACCTGCCAAAAGTTTTGTTCAAGCATGAATAGTATAGCGAGTCGAAAACAAGCGTTAAAGCCTTTAATATGTCTTCAAATATAAATAAACATCTCGTTGATATTTTCAGTAGTAATTGGTACCAATAACAGCACATTCGAGCAAGGCAATTGTAGTGGATAAAATGGTCAATTTTTTCGTACGGTACTGTACGAATTATACGCTCCTCACCGGTTAAGAGTTTGGCCGAGAGTTGTCTCCTTTCTTTTCTGGCCTAGTGCTGTTTTTTTCTACTTTGCGCCGGTCAAACTGAAGGTCACAT